ATGTGAGACTGTTTGCACTTTAAAGTTGGACATTCGTTTCCTGTGTCAGATTCAGGCTCTGGTATCTATGTGACGCTGGTTAGCATAGCCTAGCGCAGACATGCTACACTTTAATCCTGCGCTGGCAGTTTGTTTGGTGAACAAAAACACACACTGCCTGCTTTACATTGCTGCTGCCAAGTTTTGTGTTGTTGTGAGTTTATGATGCGGTGCTGATGAGCACACACTCTGCTGCTGTTACAGTTGTTTATTGTTCATTTCAGATGTGTAACCACTAACATTTGACTGGGCGGATAAATATTAGCTCGAGAGGACCAAGCCTCTTTTGCATTTACACTCTCACTCTGTCTGATTCACTGTTTCATGCTGTGAGTTTAGTTGACTCTGCAGTCAGCTTTGCATGAGCGATACTGTATCAGTCGTCAGCCGTGGCCAACAAAAGAGCCTTTTAGGAGAAAGACATCTTCCTAAATGCAGTTATGACATCTCACTGATCTGTGGAATATATTATACCATCAAAATTCTCCAGAACATGCATGTGTCAAAATCTTTGTAGGGTGAACGTGAAAGAATACAACATAACTGCAACATTTAAATAGCAGTTATGTTGGAGCACAGTTACTTCTGTGTTTTCATTGCACTTGCTTTACTGCCAGTCCATGCTGCTTCCCAACACACTGTAGCCTCTGTTAAAAGGCAGTTCTCAAATCAAAATTTATTTATATAGCACATATTAAAACAACAGTGTTGACCATAGTGCTTCACAGTCAGTAAAAGCATGAGACAAATAAAACAAACAATAGGTAACAACACAACAGCCAACTAGTTAGAATCAAAAGCCAAAGTAAAAAGATAAGTTTTAAGACGTGATTTAAAAGACTGGATAGACTTGGCAGTACAAATATGAACATGGAGGTTATTCCAGAGTCTGAGTGCCACGGTTGCAAAGGCCTGGTCACCTCTCGACTTCATTCGAGACCTAGGTTGTGCTAGGAGACTGTGATTGGATGATCTAAGTGCTCTGCTGGGATTGTATAAGTGGAGTAGTTCAGAAAGATAGCTGGGCGCTAATTTATTCAGAATTTTAAAAGTGAACAAAAGAATTTTAAAATCTATGCGATATTTAACAGGGATGATGTAATTTGGCTAAAATTATGCGTTCATAGATTCTCGTACCTGTTAAAAGAAGCGCCGGTAACTGAAGCCGGTAAAGAGAAGAGTGTTGGAGGCCCGAGCAGAGGGAGTTACAGTCGTCCAATCTGGATGTGATAAATGCGTGGACAAGCTTTTCAAGGTCCTTTAAAGGAAGGAACGGCTTTGCTTTGGATATCTGACAGAACTGGCAAAAGCTGTTTTTTACCACAGTGGAGACCTGTTTCTCAAGTTTAAAAGAGCCCTCCAGGAACACTCCAAGGTTTCTTACAGTGAGCGAGAGATGGCTAGCGAGAGGGCCAAGTGCATCAGCTAACTGGTCTAGCGGAGTGTGACTACCAAAGACTATGATTTCGGTCTTATTCTCGTTCAATGTAAGAAAATTATGTGATAACCAAATTTTAACTTCATGCAAACAGTTGAACAGAGGTTGCAAAGAAGCAGACACGTCGGATTTCAAAGGTGAATAAATCTGGATATTGTCAACATAACAGTGAAAGGAGATGTTGTATTTTCTAAAAATTAATCCCAACAGCAACATGTACAAAGAGAAGAGAGCATGATGTTGTTAGAAAGCCCACCACCACGTGCTTTGGAGTAGGAACAATGTTTCATTTTCCTTTTTGTGCATTGCACAACACTAGAGGTCACACAGGCTTGTTGTAGAGCACACATTGTGCTATCATCAGAAATCATGTTAGCTGCTTTGTTTATGTGTTTGTGTCCTGCAGGCAGTCAAGTTTGAGCCCTACCATGACAGCGCTCTAGTCAGGTTCCTGCTGAAGAGAGCTCTGAGGGTAAGCAGACATGTGTCTGCCTGTTTTATGTCATTTCAGCTCTGTGTGTGTGTTTTACTAGCACGATAACTGCAGTCAAAAATGTTAAGTTAAACAACACCTTTTGTTTTTCTTTTGCAGAGTAAGCGTATCGGTCATTTTCTCTTCTGGTTCCTGCGGAGTGAAATCGCTCAGTCCAAGCACTACCAGCAGAGGTACGCTGTCCTCCTGGAGGCCTACCTCAGAGGCTGTGGTGAAAATATGCTGCAGGACTTCCGGAAGCAGGTGACACGCTCTATTTATAG